ATGGATGGATGGATGGATAGATGATGGATGGATGGATGGATGGATGATGGATGATGGATGGATGGATGGATGGATGGATGGATGATGGATGGATGATGGATGGATGGATGGATGGATGGATGGATGGATGATGGATGATGGATAATGGCTGGATGATGGATGATGGATGGATGGATGGATGGATAATAGCTGGATGGGCTTTCCCCCTCTGAGCTCTATGGCCCATCATGAAGTGGGTGGTTCAGTGCTTATACCTGGCCTGAAGCAACCTGCATGGGTCCAATTCCTGGCTCCAATCTTTAATAGCTGAGAGGTTCTTACATCTTTCAACCCCAGCTTCCCCATCTGTGCCCATCAGGCTGTGACCAGGGTGAACATGCTCAGCACAGTGGCCAGCCCAGAGCAAATGCAGGACTTCTCCCATCCCAGACGGCAAGGTCAGGGCTCCCTTGCCTGGATTGTGCCAAGGCCCTGGGGCTCAGGTGGAGTGGAGCCTCTGTGTGTGGTGGTGGAAGGGGGCTCTTGTTGTCCCTCCCAGCTACAGCCCATCAGCCAAACCTGGTGAGGCTTGGGTCTGTGTTCACCATGGAGATGTCACATGGCACTGCCAGACCCCCCCAGAACCTCCCTCCTCCTCATCTCCGAGTTGGGGAGCCCCCTTACCTCCCCCTGGATTCTCATTTCCTGCCCCTCTCCTGGCATAACCATCACTGAGTTTACACTTTTGAAAATAAAAAGCAAGAAAGGAAGATGTCTTCAGGCAAATTCTGCTTCTGCCCTGTGACCTGCACCCTCCAGCTAAGGGGGTGTGCAGAAATGATTTCCTGGAACCGGCAAAGAAAACCGATCTGGGAACGAGATACAAATGGCGCCTCAAGAAGTCACCTTGCCCCCCAGCTCTGTGTATAGGCTGCAGGGCTGGAGCTTCTCATAAAGGATCCTGACTGCGGGCATCTCTTCCCGACTCCACCTTCCATGACGTCACACTGGGAGCTTGACATCGAGCGTGGAAACTGCAAATGCTACAATTCAGGGAATGTTAAACATTTACCAGCACAGCACTGGGCAGGAGCCACGGCTAATAGCAGCATGGATGGGAGCGGCTGGGCCAAAATTCAGAGATAAAGCCAACAGGAGTCCCTCTCCTTTGTCCAGTTTATTTTATTAAAATATACAGGACTGAATATTGGTGGGCACTGAGAACAGGAACCACCCTCCCAGGCCGCACCGAGGGAGACGCTTCTGCCATGCAGACATGCCGCCAGTCCCCATCCCAGTGTGGGAGACAGACCCCTCCTGGTTGGACATATGTAGCCAGTCTGGCCCGAGGCCAAGGTGGGCAGGGGAAGGGTGGTGACCCTCTCCTATGGCCTTGGCCCCTTAGAAGCAGAGCTACACCAGCTGGGAGGGCCGGGTTGGGGGTGGGGAAGGCGGAGAAGATCCCTGAGCCAGGGAAAGCTGATGCCCTCCTGGAGGAGGGGAGAGGGACCCCCCCCAGTCAGACTGGAGATGGGGTGTCAGTGCAACTCCAAGGGGGAGGCTCACCTGTGTGTGGGTGTCAAGGGTCCCCCGTGGCCCAGCCAGGCCAGTCTCCACAGCCCCCGCCACCCAGCCTTGCCTCCGAGGGCCCTGCTCACCCTGGGGCCAGGACTGAGCAGCGATGTGGGGGGGAGGCAGCCGATGGAATGTATCATACGGGGATCTTCCTCGGAGGGCCCTTGCTGCCTGGGGCTGGGTTCCTTCTCAGGGAGGCCTGGGCAGGTGGGAGCAGCATCTCTCTCTCTCTCTTTCCTGGAGACTTCTGTCAACCTGCCACCTGGCTTCATGACCCTCAGCCCTCACTGCTGGCTCTGGCTTCAGGCTTCCATCCCCAGAGCAGAACCCAGCCAAGCAGAGTCCCCCGAGTTTGTGCTTTTGAATGTTGGTGAGCTGGGCTGGGCTGGGGCTGGGCTTCGAGCCCCCACTGCTTCGAGGCACAGAACGGACCCCCGTGCTTCTCCCCCAGGGCCACCTGTATTGGGGCTGCTGGGACCCAGGCCTTAGCCCCCCAAGGGGCCTTGTCTCGGAAAAGCAGTGTCCTTGGCTCCCCTCGTGGGCTGCTGCCTGAGCTGCTTGGGGGGCTTGTGCTTTTCCTAGGGGGCTGGGGTGAGCCTGGGTGGAGGGGTGGCCACACTGCTCCAGGACCCTAACCAGGAAGGGGGGCGGTGCTCAGCCAAACCGCTGGGCCAAGGGGGACGCGGCAGAGGGGAAGGGGAGGGACAGGTCCCTTCCAGGCCCGCTCCGCCGCCCCCACCGGGGCTCCCTGGCTGCCAGTCCCTGGGCCATGCGACCTCTTCTCAGGACCAACAGTGACCTTGGGGGAACAGTCTAGAGCCTGAGGAGTATGGGCAGCCCCCCTGAGCCAGGACTGGGGCAAGGGAAGGCTTCTCCCATCCAGTGGCGTTGGCAGACAATTCCCCTCAGATTCTCCACCAAGACACCCAATCCCTGAACTTGAAAGGCCCCCCTTCCTGGGGTGCAGGGAGAACGGAGCCCACTGGCCCCTCACCACCTGAGCTCGCCCAGCTCAGTGGAGCGGCAGGCGTCCTGGGACCCCAGGGAAACATGTCCCCGAAGCAGCAGGCTCTGTCCCCAACACCACCTTTTTCCTCATCAGAATTCCCTGGACCTTCAGCTGCCCCTCCAGGGTCCTGCAGTGAGGGGCATTCTGGGAGTGTAGTCCGTGGGCAGGGAGTGGCTGGGGGGACAGGTAGGCCAGAGCAGCCCCCAGAACCTGGCCCATGTGTGGTGGGCAAGAAGGGTGGGAGGAGGGCGGGGTGCATGGGCTCACGCAGGTGGGGCCTTTGCTCTGGAGACCGCACCCTCCTCTGCAGGGGACCTTGTGCGCTTTCCTGGTGACACCCAGGGCCAGCGGCCAGCAGACTCTGTTCTTTCAGCTGCCCATCCCAGAGGCAGCTTCGCCCTGCTGGCCTGGGAGGGGACTGGCCAGGGGCGTTCAGCTCTCATCACCTTGATCCAGCTCCCAGCCAGACTCAGTCCTCCCTCACCCCTGTCCCCCTCTGCCAGCCCAGAGGAGTGGAGAGAGAAAGAGCGAGTGTGTGTGTGTGTGTGTGTGTGTGTGTGTGTCGGGAGCAAACTGTTCACTTTTTGCAAATATATTAGAAAAAAGTTTCTCATGGAGGCTGCTCCTGGCAGGACTGAGGTTTCTTTGGGGGCAGAGGTGGCAATGGCCACTCAGGGATCCCCCCACATGTCCTAGATGACATTCTCGAACAGCTGCATGGAGCTCATGATGTTCTCATCCTGTGTGGGGAGAGAAGGACAGGAGGCTGGGTAGGCTCTTGGTGGGCAGGGCAGGGCAGGGCCCAAATCCGACCCCCGTGAGCTGATTCTCGTCAGGGGCTCCGAAGCCCGCAGTGACTGCTCTGTCTGGCGTGCTGGGCGAGGGGCAAGCTGGTCAGGCAGCCCGTCTTCAGCCGCGCGGGCTGACTGCAAGCCCGTGCGGGAGATGCTAACTCACTGAGGGACAATCCTCCCTGCTGCACACGGCCGGAGCAACTGGAGGCCACTCTGGGAGGGAGGCAGGTGGCTGAGGCCAGTGGAGGCCCAGTGTCCTGCCCCCTGAAGGGTGCTCTGCAGCGGAGGGTCAGCAGCAATGCTGGGGAGGCTCCAGGTGCCTTCCCCCAGCGTGACCCTGTCCCGCGGGCCACAGGGCCTAATCACCCTCCCTAAGGACACCCACCCCATCTGCCCCTCTGATGCGAGGTACTACAGGCCAGGGCTGAGGGACGCCGTGCCCACGTGGGCAGAGGGCTGGCAGGACCGCGTGGGGAGGGCATGGGCTCAGAGGAAAGAGTGAAAGTGGAGCTTGGAGGTTGGGAGGGGCCCGGGGACAGGCAGGGTGTCCTCAACTCCCGATGCTGCCCACCTTCTGACAGGTCTCCAGGAACTCGTCAATGGTGACCACCCCGTCTCGATTCCGGTCCATTTTCTGCAACCCAAGCCATGCCCTCAGTGAGTCTGTCTCACCAGGGATGGCCCCTGTGCAAGGCCTGAGGACACGGCAGTGGGTGGGCTCCCTCCACCCTAACCTGTCCCCTCTGTCCCCTCCCCTGGATCCAGGCTACAGAAAGAGCCTCCCCAGCCACCTCCCACCCACAGCTGACCTCTCTGGGTTCTTCCTAGTCTGCTCCCCCCGCCGCCCCAGCAACCCCCTGGTGGCCTCCTGGGCTTATACTTCCCAGAATGCATGTCCCCACTCATCTGACCCCTCACCTCCCTGATGGGCGGCCAGGGCAGATGGAACAACCGAGGCACAGGACAGCAACAAGTCTAGAGGGCCCCCAGCCAGCGGGAGGTGGAGCCTTCAGCCCCTCTAGTCCCCATGGGCACAGAGCAAAGTCACCCCAACTCCACTTCTCACAGAGAGTTTCCCCAGAGGAGCTGGAGGAGCTCTTGGAAGACACCAGAACACTGGCCAGGGTGTCGGCTGCCTTGGAATCCACGAGGCCCGGCCTGCCCTGAGATGAGGTTCAGCAGATTGGGAGTGGGGATGGTGTTTTAATTCACTCCTCGGGGTCCTGACAACCAGCCAGATGGGGGATGCAAGTTTAACCTCACGGGAGGGAGAGAGGCTCAGAGCGGAAGCGGCTTGTCCAGGGTCGCCCTAAAGGCAGAAGCCCCCTCCTCTTCTGGCTGCCCTTCCCTGCATGGCCCGGGGCTGGAGCACTTACCTGGAAGAACCGCTCCACGTGCTCCAGAGGCGCGTCCTCCCGCAGGATGGGGTAGGTGTGGCGGCCCATCATGTCGTAGATGGACTTCATGATGGCCAGCATCTCCTGGAGGGGGGCCGGGGGGCCGGCATGAGCCCGGCTGCAAGGATGTGGGGGGGTGGGAAGGCTCAAGGGGAGGGGGCTCCATTACAAGGTGGGGGGGCACCTCCAGGGCAGGGGTGAGTGAGCGGGGAGGGGGGCCGTGCGAGCTGGACAGAGACCAGCTCACCCCCATGTAGTGTGCCCAGCGTGAGCTTCTGACTCCAAGAGATGCTGGAGATAGGTTTTAATGTGCAATCTCCCAAATTTGAACCTGTAGTGATTTTTTCATATACAAAAAAAATCTTTGGGCCAAAAAAACTCTGACTGTAGGCCTGTGTGGTAAGGCCCCTGTTTGTACCCTGCCTGAAAGGACCACACTGCCTACACTGATTGGTGGGAGCCAAAGCCAGTCCCCCACCCCAGCTTCTGTCTCCTTCAGGCCCTCCCTGCAAGAAAGGATGATCTGAGAACACTTGCTGAACTGGATGTCCCAGGTGTCCAGGACCAGGAGCCTGGGAGTGGAGGAGAGCCCTTTGGCTGGCTGTCCCCCCCAGGGCTAGGCTGAGAGCCATATCTCTGGACACGGAGGGGTACAGGACAGCTGGGGCAGCAGGAGAGAGGAGGGGAAGAGAGGTTAGGGTATGCAGCAGTGGGAGGGGAGGCGGGGCAGATAGGCCACCACCCCAGCCACCCCCGTACCTCTTTGGTGATGTAGCCATCTTTGTTAATGTCGTAGAGGTTAAAGGCCCACTTGAGCTTCTCGTGGACTGTCCCTCGCAGGAGGATGGAGAGGCCAACCACAAAGTCCTATAGAGGAAGGTAGGCTGAGCAGTGACAATCCAAGCCCGGATTCTATTTCCAGTTCTCTGTGTGGCTTCCACTGAAATTCACACCGCTATTGGGGAGGAGCCTCCATGACAGAGCGGGCAGACGGTGTCCATTAGGGCAACACGGTGTGAGTGTGTGCGCGCGCGTGTGTGTGTATGCATGTGCACGTGTGTGGCAGGGATGGCATGCTGGCTGATACTGATCTTCTCAAATAAAGATATTCAAATATACGGTGTCTTAGACCCATTTAACGCATCGCTACTGACACAGAAGACCTGGGGCGCTTTTTGATCAAGGGGAGTGCTCTACTTGATCCCTACTCAACTTTTAGATTTTCTGGATCTGAGGAAGCCTGTACCCCAAGAGAGAAAGACTAAGGGAAACAGAGTCAAGCAATTTGGGAGAAACAAAACTTATTCCTGAAGAAAAAACTTAACAGCAACTATCAGATTTAGACATTAGAAATCCGGCACCCTAAAATAAGACTAGGATGCTATGAAAAAGGATAAGTGAGAACAAGGAAGAGCTCTTAGGAATTCAAAATAAGAAAGCAAAATGGCAGACTCAGAAGAAGGCTTGGAAGAGCAAATGGAATCTTCCATATAGTAGCATGAAAAGGCAGAGCTGGAAAATGGGAGAGAAAATAGGGAAATGAGAGGTCCCCTCCAGAGTGGCCAACACCCGAACAGTAGGAGTTCCAGGAAGAGCCGGAGGGAAGCATGTCAGAGAAGCACTGAAGGACTTCCCAGAATGGAAGGCTGTGCGTGCCCAGGGCCCGCCGAGGCCCAGCACACGCGTGAGAGCAGCCCGCAGTGTCGCCTGCAGGCATACAGCATGATGACATAGCCAAGAGAGGATCCTATACGCTTCCAGAGAGAAAAACGAAACCAAACAGAAAAAACAAAACCAGGTCCCGTACAAGGGTCAGGAATCAGCAGGCTTTGCCTTTTGCCAGCAACACCTGAGGCAGGAAGACAGCGGGGTGATGCCGCCACCGTCCGGAAGGAGCACAGCTTCCCCCCATAGCTCTGGCCCACACAACACAGCAAGCAAGAGTGAGAACAGAAGACGCTTCCAGACATCCACAGGCTCAAGTTACCCCATGTGCTCTTTCGTAGGAAGCTGCCGGAAGATGGGCCCCCGAAAAGAGAGAGTGAAGCAAGAAAGAGGAAGGTGACAGATTTTGGAACCCACAGACACAACCCAGGAAAGAGGGGAAGAGGTCTGCAGAGGGCACCAGGTCCCCTTGGAGGCTGGGGAGGCATCCGCAGGGAGATGCCAAGAAGACAACTGGAGAAGGGCCTGGTGCTAAATTCATGAGGAGGCCACAGACACCAGGCAGCTGAGCAGTCAGGGCAACCTTTAACTGTGGGCAAAATAAGAATGTGTGCAGGAGAGGAAGACATCATCACAGTTACTGCAAGGCTCAGATGGGGGTCAAGTTCACAGCACAAGAGTGAACCGCGAGTCCCTGTCCAATCCGAGTCCTACAGTTCTGTCGGGAAGCCAGGGATGGGAAAGGCACGTGTGCGAGGAGGCCTGACTCCTCATCACCCACGGCGGAGCCGACAGGCAGCATCTGAAACCAGGCAGCCAGGAAGGAGCAAAAGAGCGTGCTGTCGGGAGCCGAGCGGACACACAGCGACAATCGGCTGATTGTCAGGGGAGGTGGCTGCCTCCGCGGTGTGTGCGGGGGCGGCTAACTGCTGTTTTTCCAAAGCACACCCTGTAAATCTATTGGACTCTTAAGTCACGTGTGTGTGTAAGTGAAGAAAATGAAAATACATGAAAGGAGAAACAATGGGAGGGCCCCGGCACCTCTGTCCTCTCATTCTGTCTCACAGTCCCGGACCTGCCGCGTAGAAGCCCTCAAGGTCGGCCTCAACCGAGGAATGACCCCACTCAGCGTCCCCTAGTGTGTGTGACATAGTCATGACAGTATTAGGAGAGAGTGGGTGAGAATGTCCCCTGGAAAACACACAGATGACCCCAAGTCCAGCCAGCCCATGTCCGGATGCTAGTTCTAACTTTACAGCCCCACACAGCAGTTTCACGTGGGACCATCGCTAGTTGTAAGTCCTTGCTCTTAACTTTGAGGTGCACGAAGCCCGTCACCCCCACAGTCCCTGCTCTATGGCTGTCCCTGAGGCAGGACCCAGGGAGGGTGAGGGGCTCCTGCAATGACTGTGACCCCAGGCTAAGACACACCCAAGTGCACACAAGGAGCACTCGGCAGGGCGCAGAGCAGGAGCCCAGCCCGCGGGTGGGAGCAGAGGGTGTGACTACGGGGGTTGTGGGCATTCTCTCTGGTTACTGCAGTCACACCGCTCAGCTGACGGCACAGGGAGCGGGTTACTGCAGGGGGAGGTAATAGAGAGGCAGCCACCCCCTCCTCCAGACACCCACCCGGCCATAACTCTCCAAACGAGCAGGTTGGCCAACGTCACTTCAAACCCGGCTGGGGAGCCTGACTTGATCCTGGGTACTGAAAAGGCATCAGCAGTCTGAAGAATCATTTTTAAAGCTTTGCACGTTGCTGGCACGATGAACGAGTTGAATCAGACAGGCCCTGGATGGCATGAGGCGCATCTGTGTGTGCGTGGCCGTCGCCTGGCGGGAGGGGAGGCCAACACCAGGCTCCCTCCCGTGGACACATCCCGAGGGACCCAAGAGGACCAGAGCAGCTGCTAGACCCTGAGGTGGGACGTGGGACGACGGCTCCCGCTTGGCAATGCTGAGTTTTGCTTGATTTGTCCTTTTGTTTTCTGTTAGTCTTTTTGTTGAGGGCAGGGAAGTTACAATATTTTACCATATCAATAAACTTTAATTAATATATGTCTTGTCTCTCAAGAATATACAAAAAGGATTGATTTTGCAAATACTGATAAGCCGAGCTGACTTTCCATTTTGGGGGCATGTTGAAAGGTTCAGTCCGAGGCAGTGAGGGGAGCCGAGTGTCACCCTCACCCCTCAGGATCCTTTCTGGCCAGGGGGATCCCAACCCATGGTGCACCAGGATGGGGCTATGCCACTTGGAAGGTCCCTGGGGAGATATGTGCCCTTCTGCCTTCCTGAAAAAGCCTTCCTAGAGCAGAACACTGAAATCAAGAAGGTCCTTGAGGTAAACAAACACACCTGGATGGAACTAGAGGAATTAATTCCACATGCAGAGAAGCACATGGAAGGCCCGGATGATGCCAGAGATGAATGACCTCCTGAGAAGGTGCTTAGCAGAGGGGCTTCAGCACCAGCACCCCCAACTCAGCCACTGACTGCACCTCCCCACACAAAGACCCACCACCCACCCCCTTAAAGGAACCACAGGCCTCTCTCCCTCAGGGTAGTGAGAGCGATGACCGCAGGAGGGGGCACGGGACCTCCCTGACGCCTGCCATGCCACCGGGGCAGGCTCAATCCTCTGACGTCTGAAAAAGAAAAGTCATCCAGCAAAGCCCTGGCTGGGTCCATGTGGCTGGAATCCCCTAGATTCCTTCTCACACTTTGTTCCCCGAAGTCTCAGGTGCCTCTTAAGGGACACACGAGAAATTGGTCACCAGGAGGGGCGAGGGAGGACAATGCATTTTCCCAGTTTACTGCTTTGAACTGATGGGATTTTTTACTGTGTGCAGGCATTACTGAACATTTTTTTAAAAAGACGAAAACATTGTACGTTTACACACGCACTGGCCGTGAGAGCGTGGCCCGGAGCGGGCGGGGCGCCCGCGGTCACTGAGCCAGGCAGCGGCCTGGGGTGGCCCACGGTCTGCGTGTCAGTGTGCCCGGCGGGCTGGCGGCATAAAAACACCCGGCGCAGCGTTACTGCCGGGTTATTATTACCCCCGGCTCCCCAGGCGCTCTGAGCCGGCCGGATCGCCGCCCTTGGCCTGGACGCCGGGCGGGGCGGTTATCGATCCAGCCCGGCTCTCCGCGAGGTTTTCCTCTCTGAAGAGGTTTCAGCTTTTAGCCTGCAGCTATTTTTAGGGGTCTGGGCTCCACAGATGGGGCCTCTGTCAAATGATCCCATGTGGCCAGGCCTGGGCGGAGCCCACACGCTGTGTGCGCGGAGCCCAGCGCGGTGGGGCAGGTGGCCGGGGGCAGGCTGCTGACAGCGGGGGCACCAGGCCACTCACGGTCCCAGCTGGGATGACCCTGGAGCCCGCTCAGGCTGGGGTGCTCTGCCTGTTTTCTGGCAAGGGGGTAAATGCTGGGGCTGGGTGCCTGAAATCGCACCATTAGCGCAGACCTCTGAGTTAACCTTGCCTCTTCTTCAAATGCAAATTCAAGTCAGGCATTACCACCTCATGTGCCTTAGTGCCTCCCTTGGCCTGGTGGGGCTGGAATGGAAGAAAAGGGTGGCAGACAGCAAAATCAAATCCCAATGATTTCAGTTAGGCCCATGGACAGTTCACTTGTTCCGGGGGTGACACACTGGACCGTTTACAGCCAGAACCATGTTTGAGCCTCTGGACAGCCTCGGGAGGGTGGCACCAGGGCAGGGAGACTCCCCCCACAGAAGGCTGCAGGGACAGAGGACGTGGGAGGGGTCGGCAGGGACCTACCTCGAAGCGGATGGCCCCGTTCCCGTCGGCATCGAAGGCATTGAAGAGGAAGTGCGCGTAGGTGGTGGCATCTGGGGAGAGCAAGGGCGAGGGCTGGGGTGTGTTGGGGTCCCCTAGCAACTCGAGCCCCCATCCCAGACAGCCCCACTGAGGGTTCCAGTTGCATCCTGGGCTGAAGTCCCCTCTTCCAACAAGACAGAGGCAGCACCAGGCCTCTGGAAGGCAAGGGGTGGCAGGGAGGGTAGAGGTGGAGGTGAGGGTCCCCTCCCCGTAAAAGGGACACCCACCCTCTGCAGAGCTGCCACGGGACGCAGTGGGGGGCCAGGCCTCAGACTCACCTCCCTGAGGGAAGAACTGCGAGTAAATGAGTTTGAAGGTGTCTTCATCCACCAGGCCCGTGGGACACTCCTGCAGCAGGAAGTCACCCCTCTCAGCGACCTTGGCCACCCCCTGCCCCACACTCCGACTCTGCAGGGCCAGGCCTCTCTGCTCCCACTGAGCCCTGGGCTGGGGAAAGCCTGGTTGGAACGCGGTGAGGCAGGAGGGGGTAGGTGGAGGGGGGTGGCTGGTCCCCCCATGCCAAGCTGGTCTCTCTGTATGTTCCTCCTCTGTGCCAGCATCGAGGCACACAGAAAGGAGCACAGTGCCTTCAGAATACTGACTCTGGGTCTTGGCCCACCCTCCCAGACAGCTCTACCACAAAACATGAGCCCCATAAAGGCCCCTGGGATATTTACTGTGCCATGGAGAAGTTTCTAGAAGGTCTGCCTGGGCCAGAGTCCCTCCTGTCCGGATCTAGGGATAGGAGCGCTGGGTGGGTCAGGGCCTCTCCTGGGGGAGTGGGGAGCACTCACGTTCTTGAAGCCCCTGTAGAGGGACTGCAGCTCCTTCTTGGTGAACTTGGTCTGTGCCTGCAGCTGGTCCAGCCCCTCTGGTTGGTGGCGCACCGTGGACAGCTCTAGCTCACTGTCGCTGCTGTCTGGAGGAGGACACAGACCCAGGAACATGTAGCCCCAGTCCTCCATCTTGCTCCAGTGTGGGCGCCAGGCCATGGGCTGAAGTAGGGACTGGAGGGAATCTCCCTGCATGACTACCATGCATGGCCACACAGGCTGTGCACTGCACAAATCGAGGGGCTATGGTGGAATAGCACACTCAGGAGTTGTGCCTCATGGCTGCTCTGCTGCCTTGCTCCTCACACAGAGTGGGCCCTCCCCACTCGCCTCACCTCGAGTGTGCCCACCCTCTCAGCCACACAGTGGGATGGGTGCTGGGAGCTGGTCTTGTCCTGGAGAGACACTGAACACCTCATCCATGTAGCCCTCCTTGACTTCCCCCAGGAATGCGGAGGGCACCTCTCTTGGCCAATCGCAGCCTAACATGCTCGCTGCTGCCCGGCCGCATTTGGTGTGGGGATGTTGTTCACATTTGGGTGGGAGGTTGGAGCTTAGGGGCCCGTAGGGCAGGGACCAGGCCTTTTCTTTAATAACAACACATCAAAATGTTAACTATCCACGGCTACCTATGGGGAGGAGGTGGATTTCAGGTGATCTTTACTGTTTTATTTATGATTTTTTTTTTTTTTTACATTTTCCTAATTTCTTTTGGTATGGCATGCATCACTTTTATAGTACACAATACAGCTATAGACAAAACCCCACTGAGTTCCTGCACCTTGCGGAGCGGCATGCTCACATAATGACAGAACTTCCCACAGAATGGGAAGCACAACCCCGATGCACCGACCCACCCTCAGCCTCCCCGTGCCCCTAGCAGAACGGTGAGGCCCTGATTATCTGCACAGCTGCTCGCTTGCTCCCTCTGCAGGGTGAGCTCTGCGAGGCAGCCTCCCCGCACTGCCCATCCTGTGCCCGCAGAGCCTAGCTCGGTGCCGGGCATGGAGCTTTGCCCCTCTGAGCCTGCTGAGCCCTCTGCTGGGGCTTCCCCGTGCCCGGGCCTCTCCTGTGAGCACAGCCCACTCCCACGCACCTCAAGAGCACCCTGGAAACTGCCCAGCAATCGGGCTCTGTTGCCTAGGTCCATGCACAGCCCAGTCTCCAAGACAGCGATTTCATATCTTCCTTCTCTTTAAATTTCCAGTACTTGCACCCCATCCTTAGCCTCACATTGCTTCCTACTTCACTGAGAAAATAAAAGCCACAGAAGAAAACTTCCTCAAGCTCCTAGCACCACACCTAGCCATCTACCTGCGTCTGGCCCAGCCACCGTGTTCCCTCCTTCTCTGGGGATGAACCGTCCCTGTTCCCGGCTAAGGCAAAGCCCTCCACTTGCGCAGTGGGTCCCGGCCCCCCTCACCTACTCAAGCATGTGGCTCCAACAATTCTTCCCACTCTTTCCCATTTCTTCATCGTCTTTCTCCCCTCCCTTCTGGATCATTCCCATCACCACAGGGACATACTGTTAAATCTGGCAATCCTTGGTCAAGTTAAGTATAGCAGACATTGCAAGCCATCAACCCCACTCTGGGTAAATGTCCCAAACATAATCTTACACAGCTAAGGGGACCTGTATAAGGATGCTCATGGCAACAGTATTTTTCATGGGGGAGCTGGAGGCATCCGGGTCCATCACAGGCAGGATGGTGGGCACAGTCCGGGGGATGCACACCAGGGAGAGCTGTGCCGTGGGCTAGAGGTGTACAAGAAGCAGACTGGATGAAACAGTAAGATCCAACTCTGTGCTATTGACAAAAAGGATGCCCTTACTACAAAGACATGACAGATTTAGAAAAAGGATAAGAAACCTGGTGTGGCTATATTAATACAGAAAAAAGTAGACTTCAAGACAAAAAGCACTACTAGAGACAAAAAGGAACATTTCAGAATGATACACGGATTAATTCATCAAGAACAACCTGAAATATATATACAGTAGTGCCCCTTATCCGCAGGGCATACGTCCCAAGACCCCCAGTGGGTGCCTGAAACTGCGAATAGTACCGAACCCTGTATCTACTATGTTTTTTCCTATACATACATATTTGAGGTGCAACAGCAAAACTAGCACTATTTTTTTTTTCTTCTTCACAATTTCCTGGATAGAAGATCCATTCTTACCATAGATCTTAGCAACCTCAGCATATGATTTTTTTCTTTCCTTATTAAGTCAAGAATTTTCGCCTTTTCATTTAAAGGAAGTACATCATGGCTTCTCTTTGGGATATCCGAATTGCCAGCATCACTACTTTTACACTTTGGGCCATTATTAAGTAAAATAAGAGTTACCTGAATACAAGCACCGTGATTCCTCAACTAAGTGACGGAGGGCAGGTAGTGTATACAGCGTGGATGCGCTGGACAGAGGGATGAATCACGTCTCAGGCGAGATTTCATCCCACTACTCAGAACAGAGCACAATGTAAAACTTATGAATTATTTCTGGAATTTTCCATTTAATGTTTACAGATCACAGTTGACTGTGAGTAACTAAAACTGCAGAAAGCAAAACCACAGATGAGATGGGACTACTATAAGTACCTAGTAATAGAACTTCAAAACACCTGAAGCAAGAAATTCAGAACTAAAGGGAGAAAGAGATAAACCACAGTCATAGTTGAAGATTTCAATATTCTTTTCCAGCAAATGGTACAAGATATAAAAAATTTGAAAAACACTATCAACCAATTTGACCTTATTAATACTTATAGAACACTATGCCCAACAACTGTAGAATACACATTCTTTTCAAGAGCACATTCTATGGTTACCAAGATACACCAGATGCTGGAAGATAAAACATGACTATGACCACAATGGTATTAGATTAAAATCCAAAACAATAAGATATCTAAAAAATTCCAAATATTTGGAAATTAAACAACACACTTCTAATTAACCCACAGCTCAGAGAAGATAAATCGCAAGGAGAATTTTGAAATATTTTGAATTGAATGATAATGAAAACACAGCATATCAAAATTTTATGGATGCAGTAAAGCTGTACCTAGAGGGAAATTTTTAGCTTTAAATTCCTTTATTAGAAAAGAAGATAGGTGTAAAGCCAGTGATATCAGCTTCTAGATCTAAGCTTTTCAGAATCTAGAAAAAGAAGAGCAAATTAAACTCGAGTTATTAGAAGAAAGAACATAATAAAAATAAGAGTAGAAATCAATGAAAAAGAAAACAGACAAACATACAGAAAAATCAATAAAGTCTTTAAAAAACTCAATAGGCAAGTCACAGACTGGAAAACATATCTGCAGTACACATATCTGACAAAAGACTGATTTCCAGAATGTATAAAGAATTCCTACAAATTAACAAGAATACAACTAATAACTCAATTTTTAAAATAGGCAAAAGATTAGACCACTTCATAAAAGAAGATATACAAATGGTCAATAAGTACAAGAAAAGATGCTTGACAGCATTAATCGTCAAAGAAATACAAATGTTCCAATGCAAAATGCAAGATACCTAATGATCTATCATTTCAAAGACACTGATGCCACCAAATGTTGGCAAAGACACAGAGCAACTGGAACTCACATATGTTGTTGGTGAAAGTGTAAAAGGGTATAACCACATTGGAGAACTGCTTCGCAGTTTCTTATAAGCACACCTCAACCTTATGACCTACTTACCTAGCATAAATGAAGACATATGTCCACAAAAGACTTGAACAAGAAGATTCACAGTAGCTTTATTCATAACAGTCCCAAACTGGAAACTGCCCAATCAATCAACAGAGGAATGGACTTGTGGCATGTTCACATAAAAGAATACCATACTCCATTAAGAAAAGAATGAACTATTGATATATGCAACAACATGGATGCATCTCAAAAATATTATGCTGAGCAAAAAAGTCAGACATGAGAGAGTTCATACTGTATGATTCCATTTATATGAAATTCTGGAACAAGTAACACTAATGCATGGTGATAGGAGTACAGCAGGTGGTGGTTAAAAGGGTGCATACAATTGTCAAAACTCACTGAACTGAACACTTAACATCTGTATATTTTGTTGTATGTAAATTATATCTCAATTTAAAAAAAGAAAATATACTGCTTAGACTTCTGCTTTCAGTCATGATGGGGTAGTGAATGTCAGACTTACCTTCTCACCACAAACAACTTGAAAACTGGAAGAAATATATGAGGCAAGTGTTTACAGGCTTTGGACTACAGCACAGATCTTTGAGAGAAGGGAAACATATGAAGTGAGCTCCACATTCACCCTAGATATTGGCTGGGGACACTTTCTGGCCCATGATATAGGAAGTGGAGCACAATCCAGGGAGCAGCAGTAGGGCAGAGATGAGGCAGAGATCAGAGTTGGGAGCTGCTGAGGCAGATGGATTTCTAGAGTAGAGTCCTGGAGAGGAGGGAGCCGCACAGAGGAGGGGCCCCAGAAGTTTGTGTGGAGGTTCCCCTTGGGACCTTGGCCAAGGGCTGGACTGCATATGTTCAGAATGAGATTCTGTGAGGCCCAGCTAAGAGCAGATGTTGGAGGGTAGGGGGACAGAGACCTGAAAAGACATCTCAGAGTTCATGCAATAATGGGAAAAGCTGGAGTTCTGGCTCAGCTAGAATGGAGACACCTCCCTAAGCACCTCCAGCATTCAGTTGAAACCCCAGGAAGGCCATGCTTGAGGAGTAAGGATTGTGCCCAAGGGTAAGGGCTATGCTCTAGAACTAAGGACAAAGTCAAAACAAACCCACTCTACCAAAATCTAAAATAAAGTCCTGTCAAGATCAAGTGGATCCGCCAGTAATTTAATTGCCTGCCAAACTAAAATTCAACAGCCTTTATATTAAGATAATATAATCCAGTTTCCCTACAATATACCACCTACAATATCCAATAAATAATTAAAAGACATGAGAAGTAAGAAAATATGACCCATAATCAACAGCTAAAGGAGTCACCAGAATTATTAGTTTTTTTATTAGAATTATTATAAAAGACCTTTAAAACAACCATTATCAATATGTTGAAAGCATTAAAGGAAAGA